TTTATAAATATATGATTGTAACGTGCCTAATAAGCCTTATTTAATTATTGTTTTGTTTTAATATAATTGCAATATTTGCCACAGAAGTTTTACTTCAACCGCGCGTAAAGGCGACACGCAGTCAATTTTTCTGATTATTCTCATTTTCAACAGACTAATAGAATATTCCATGAGGGCACTAAGATATGAACCAGAATAAAAGCACCTTATGTAACTTATTTTCCCATTAATTATGTCTGCATGAAAAGAACCAACAAACAACCAATCACTTTAGGTGAATATATTTTTTCTTGAATTTATAATATACTAGCATTGCCCGCGACTCCGCCCGCGTTGAGATGACATAAACTAAATTCTTAGGTTTTACATTGCACTTTTTATATTTTTTCTCAGAAGTGAGATATTTTCCCGCGGTAAAAAGTACCCTATATGTTGACCCGGATAACCAGCTATCACTATACCAAATTTCATCAAAATCCCTCTAGTGGTTTTTCCGTGATTCGGTAACAGACAGACTGACAGACAGACAGACAAAAATTACAAAAACTATTGATTTGGCCTCTGTATCGAAAATAATGTCTATATTAATAAGATTTTCCAAAATATATTTAATATACAGATTCGGCTCAGTTAGAATTTTGTTATAAGTATGTATAGATTTTGGTATTTAGCTTAATCATTAGCAAGAAATATAAAAATTGATTCCCATTTTAAATAAAGTAAATCTAAGAAAATAATAATCGATTCCCAATTGACCAAAGATATGGCGTAACGTATTCGCATAGTAACATACCAAATACATATCTCCTTTTCGATTCGTCGATTCAGTAGTACTTAGATAACTCTTTATCTTATTCTAAACATAAATTAATTACTTATCAAATTTGTTAATAGGAATATTTTTATTTGTACTTAATCACTGTATCTACGTAATTACGAAAAATCACTAAAAAAATTAACGCTGTGATAGCCCAATGGTAACTAGCTGGCTTAGGAAACTGAGTGAAGCGGGTTCAAATCGCGGGTCTCACACCTCTGACATTTTCATATGCGAATTATTTCCAATATGATTACCACTTATCTTTAATTTAATACTGAGGAATACAATTACAAAATAGAAATTCTTTAGCTCAGTCAGGTATTTTTTTTGTATGTATGTATTCAGCCATTTTTAACGTCCCTGCTGGCCACGGGCCTCCCTTCAGTACGAGGGGAATCAGGTCATTGTCCACCACGCTGTCCAAGTGCGGGTTGATGGACTACACAAGTTTTTTTGAAAACTTGCTAGGTTCTCTCAGACATACAGGTTACCTCACGATGTTTTCTTTCACCGTTAAGACAAGTGGTAATCATCTTGAAAATGGTTCGCACATGAAAATATCAGAGGTGCGAGACCCGGGATTTGAACTCGCTTCACTCGGTTTCCCAAGAGAGCGCGTTACAACTGGGTTACCACTGCCGTATTCAGCAGTTACTTGTATATAAATTATAAAGTGCAACCTAATCACTACTATTAGAATATTACATGTAATATGTACGTACATCAATCAATATTGTGATCCCGATGATAAAATCACTAGGTTTTGATCAAAAACCCATTTATTTATAGGCGTCATTATTATAATGTCATCAGGCAAATACATAATCAAAAAGATATTAATATTACATTTAGTTACCGGAAGGCATCCTAACTAATTAATGACGTGTATATATCAGTATCTCAATAAAATACCCCAGTGGTGTAGTGACTTGCATGAACAGCTACAGATTTTTAAAGTCCTGGGTTCGAGTCTCAGGTCAAACCAAGTTTAGTTATTAAGTCTTTCTGGTAAGATAGTCTCAATAATAGTCCGGACTTAGGTCGTGTCGAATTGTCGTCCCACTAGAATATGAGCAGTGAAAGTTGAGTAGAAAATGACTGTTAATTTTTGAATGCTTTCAAATACGATCACGCAAAAAAATTGTTTCATTCAAAACAAAAATTTAAATTAATTGATTATTTATTTTAAAAATCATTGGGCCGCCTCCAAATGTTGAGTAAAATAATTTTTCTTTTCAAAACTTTTGGATTTTATAGCAAATTCTACCCCCAAAGCTAAGAAAAAAATTTTTGTTTTTCACTCACATTTTTTTTTCACCTTAATGGTTATATCAAAGAACACGTATATCCTACATTGTACATATACATATATATGTACATTGTACATATATAAAGGCATATTATATTTACGGTATAGTCACGATCAATAACCTTATGAGGCAATATATGAAAACGAGTTTGTTTTAAATTTAAAACAGCCTATGACATTACTCAATTATGAAATATACTTTAGCTGTCATTTTTCTGACAAATCAAATAAGTTTTCGACGCAAGCGCATATATTAAATAAATTAGGTTTGACGTCAAACCGGCTTTTAGGGGATTTTTTTTGGTTTTTGGAATTGTGAATTCGAAGTAAGTGTTTGTTTGTTACCGCCTTAACGCCTCAAGTGTGACTTTTTTTTGTACTTGGGAATATACATAGGCATCCTTTAACCGACTTTAAAAAAAGAGTATTCAGTTTGATTGTATGTTTTTTTGTATTATAGATTTAATCTATACTAATATTATAAAGAGGCAGAGTTTGCTTGTTTGTTTGTTTCTTTGTTTGAACGTGCTAATCTCAGGAACTACTAATCCGATTTGAAAAATTCTTTTTGCATTAGATAGCCCGTTTATTGAGAAAGCTATAGTCTATACATAGATATAGATTTGTATTTGTCTAGGGACGTAACCGAAGCGAGGGGGAGTTGCTACTTCGCTAGTAATAGATAAAACAATTTTAGTACTATACTAATACTTAGATTTTATGTGATTGTTACTTATTTTATATATTTATCAGTAATATAAACGTTGTAACAATTCAAAAAAACAAAATGAAATTGAATTGAATATTGCTGTCATAGTTTTACTTCCAATACAATAAAGAAATAAAAAAATATGTAAGTAAAGTCATGGTATGAAACTACTTGTCTTAAATAATTATATATATATATATATATATATATATATATATATATACTTATCAGTTACAAAACTAACAAGACTTTCTTCGCAATGCGCCTACGCATTATGGGGTTTTACCATTACCTGTTCTGTTACCTTAGGGGAATCCCACATATACGCGGAATAACTCTCACAAAATACCCCGTTAAATGACAAATTTATTATGGCACCTGCATGTATATTGGGTTTACCATTATTTATCTAATTTTGTAAATAGTAAAAGTATGAATGTCATATTCCAAGATTTTTTTTCTATATCGATGTAAAAAGTAAGCTGAAAAATGTTTATGATACAATTTATATTTCTTAGGAAGGTAGTGGGTTCGATTTTCGTATGGTATTAACACTAAAAATGTATATTAATAAAGATGTTTTAAATCCTGCTTTGACAAATATCCGTTAATACTGCTTGGTTGAAAGACAAACAAACAAACAGGTTTTCACATTTACAATATTAGCAATACTAGGGAAAATATCAAAATTTTGTCACTTTCTATATATATCGGGCTTACAATAATTAAGAGGGAGTGAAATTTTTGATGTATTTTACGAATGTCTTATGTGATGTTATAATAATATATTCCTTTCATGATGAATGAATGAATGGATGAATTTAAAAAAATGCTAAAACACATATCTATTTAATTATATTGAAAAGCATTAATACCAAGTTTTAAGTAATTCTGATCATAAATATTTTTTTGCATTGTATTTTAACGTGATTTCCCGTGGAATGAGGTAATCTTCCGCGATAAAAAGTAGCCTTATGTCACTCTCCAGCCCTCCAACTATCTCCACACAAAAAATCACGCCAATCCGTTACTCCGTTTTGACGTGAAAGAAGGACAAACAAACTAACAAACATACTTTCACATTTATAATATTAGTATGGATATAACCGCGGAGATTATTCACCTAGTTAATTAAACATATTTATTAAAATATATCAGGATCTAGTAACGCCCTCTATATTAGGTGTTGCTTACTACTCCGTAACGCGCCACCTACATCGCCAATCGATACGAAGATTTGGTCGATTAATTTACTTTTTTTTATTAAAATCATTATGAGTATTAATTACACTAATTATTTAATTAAATCAAATTTATAATATTAAAAACTGTGTTGTGTTCTGTGTTATAACTATTGCAGATATAAATAATTTTAATTTAATTGTTTGTCATTTGATTAATTTGAATTAACGTTTACACACGTTTTAGTCACTATTTTATTTGTAACTTGGTTTTATTAAATCTTATGTGATTTTAGGATATTGTTTTATTATAATTTACTTCAAAATAAGTGATTTGTAAAGTTGTTTAAGTATCCGGATATTGTAACGCCATTTGTATTTTAGCGCCATCTATAAAGAATATAGTACTGACTATATTCGCCTGATTAAATTAAAAAGAGTATATTTCCCTTAAAATAATAATGGATATTGTTTTTATTAATAAATAAATTAATTTTAATATTTTTAGACTTCGTTCGCTTACTTAAATCTTTTAGATTATAATATTTACAATTCATATGATGCCTGATGGTCATTTGATTAACTTAATTATACAACCCTTTTTAGTTATGGTTTTATTTGTAAAAGAGTCCAAGTAAAACCTATACATTTTTAAGAGACTGTTTATAATATATCGTACCTGAAATTTTTCAGAATTATTCTAATTCAAATTACGAACGGCAAATATTTTCTCTGGCTGTTCTCACTGAGAACGTTGTTTCCAAATTCCAACGTCCATACGCAGATTCACTCATGACTCGACGTTTTGGTCGTTTTGTCGTTCATGTTTATATATAATATTCTCATAAATATATCAAACAAAAGAGTAACAATTATCTAAGTACAGGTTAGATTTATCAAAACTTCAGTTGTGAGAAGAAAATATATAGAAAGAACTTTAACTTCGAATTTGATTCTCGGTTTGGTGCACTGTGCAAATAAATGGCAGCGTATCGAAAGCACGCTTTGGAAAAATTGAATAAAGATGTTTGTACAAAAAAAGATGGTACAGAAAAGAGGCCTATTAATGATAGCATGAACTCGGAACAAGGAGGTATGTTAAAACTATGTTAATGACTTAGAAATTTCGGTGTAAAATATTTACTTGCAGCTATGTACATTTATATGACATGAACTTTCAAACGACTTTGAAATTCTTCTCATCATTGCATCAGAACTAATCACCTCGTTGGTTTAAAATAACAAACCATAATTGGCCAATTTTATATATCACTATATATAATTAATATATAATTTTTTGTATATGAATAACTTATAGGGGTTTTGAACATTAATTATTATATTTTAACTGATTTCAATATAAGACCGATTTAAGTAATTTTTTGACGTTTGTTACCTGACATATTTGTTTTTTTTTTAATCAATTTTTGATATTTATTTTTAAGGTATGACATAATAAGCTGTTATAAAGCTATTCATTCTATACATAATTAAAAAAAAACATTGCGGCCTTAACAATTGAATTATAATTAATAACTTTATATATGTTGTTTTGAAACAGGTATTTTAAAAATAGTTTTTTGTTTTAAAATATTTAATTATGAAACATGGCTAATGAGGTCAATACAATTTTCTAGTTATTGGATTAAATGTGTGTCAGTTGATCACAGATTTCTTCGCCAATGTCACGTAGAAAGGAGAAAACCATAGAGTATATTGCTACAGAGAAAACCCAAGTGACACTAAGGCCCGAACCACACTATAGTGCCGATCACAGTCCGTTTTCGGTCAAATGTCGTTCTGGTAAAGTATTTTTATACAAGAAACGTTGCTTGAGTGTGATTCGACCGGAAACGGCTCTTACTGATGGTGTGAATGCATTCATTGTTTATTGTATAAAAATACTTTACCAGACTATTATAGGGCCTAGAATGAATCGTTAGCGGCATTATAGTGTGGATGAAGCCTAATGTGTTACCAGTACTTCTTGTAACTCTAACGTGATCTAATTTCCTAGCGCGATCTATTGTTAAAAAAATAATTTTATTTCAGAAGCTTTTATTTATTTAAAAGTGCGTCTATCGGAAAAAAAATTATTTTACGTTTTTATTTCTATCTAATTATACAAGAAACTCTTGAATAAAGTAGTAAGCGTAACAAAGTAAAACATTTTTAATTTTACTTTCAAATTTTTAAAAAGGTCTGAGACAGAGAAAAAGTCTAGAAATCTAGTGGAATTTTAATATATGATACATGCGTATACCCAGACTCAGGGAATATTTATTCATCTTTTGGATACAAGAGCGTATAAGTAACGAAATACGAGGTTATTTTTATTTGTAATGAAATATTTGTTTTGTTATTTGTTATGTTTAAACCTGCGGATTTTGTTAGGAGATGGTTAAAATGTATTAGTTACACTACCACATTACGTATGCCTTTTTAAAGTCACAGGTTCGATTCATCCAGATGGTTGTTTTAATCTAGGAATCGTCCAACGGCCAAGTCATTCTATTTATTAAAAAAATAAAGATATCTAATATTGATACGGTCACTATAAAATATTGTTATTTAACTAATAATTAGGTAACAATTTATGACAAAGTTTTTGGATAGATATATATAGGTAGTGAATAAATTAACCGACTTGGTTTTACATTAGATCTCAAAACTTTATGTTGTAGAAAAACTATGTTGCGAGACTTGCATTTTTTTACACGTTATGTTTTTCATAGGATATAGTTTCGCTAATTAAGTCGAGAAGTTAACAAGAATTCTATATATTTTACTAGCATTGCCCGCGGCTCTGTCTGTCTGTCTGTCTGTCTGTTACCGCATCACAGAAAAACGACTGGAGGGATTTTGATGAAATTTGGTATGGTGATAGCTGGTTATCCGGGTCAACATATAGGATACTTTTTACCGCGAGAAAAAATCTCATTTCAGAGAAAAAATACAAAAACTGCAATGTAAGAGTATACTAATATGTAAAATCTAAGAATTTGGTTTTTGGTCATCTGAACGCGGGCGGAGCTGCGGGCAAATGCCTGAAATGTAGGTGCCAGTGGCTTTATTGTTAACAATATAAAGTATAAATAAAATATAAAGTCTCCCCCTTATGGGATAAATTTCGAAAAATGCTAAAATGCGTAATTATTTAATTGTATTGAAGAGCATTTATACCAAGTTTCAAGTAATTCTGAACTTAAATATTTTTTTGGATTGTATTATAACGTGTTTTCCCGTGGGAATTAGATAATCTCCCGCAGTAAAAAGTAACCTATGTCACTCTCCAGCCCTCCAACTATCTCCACACAAAAAATCACGCTAATCCGCCAAGCCGTTTCGGCTTGAAAGAAAGACAAACAAACAAACACACTTTCATATTTATAATATTAGTATGGATTTATAACTTTGTAATAATCAATAAATATGTGACTAATTAATTATATTATTTATTGGCCTTTGGCAATAACATAAGCTGTTGATATTTTTCAACTAATTATGTTATACTCGTATTATATGTATCATAACAGTCAGCCATGAACGAATTAACCACTGGACTAGACATATAAGCGGACGTACCTTTATCGTGCTTCTCAGTAACCAGGAGATTTTAGGCTTGGTCGTTTGTTTTTTGCGTCAGTCTCAAGCACTTATTTGTCAACAAAACATCTCCCAAAAATGACTAAATGTTCTGTTAAATGATGTAAAAACTATAACGGCGGAAGCAGCAGTATTTCTTTTCACTTGTAAATACATTATTTTATTACATATATTGTTATTTATCACACAATTTAATTAAATGTAAAATAAAATGTCATATTATCCAACTATGTTAAATATAGTCGATATTTCTATGTATTGTTGACATCTGACAACTATCATAAAATCCCTGGATTATACCATTCAGAACAAATGACTAAACTGTCGAGTGAGTCCATTTGACATCGACTAGTGCTTGACAATGTCGAAAAATATATCGATATTTGACGAAATCGAAACTAAACGAATTGTGTTATTTGTACAGTACAATAACATAAAATACTTTTACCACAGTATCCTACAATCTGATGACAATAAATTTATAAAAATATTTTCTAAATCAAATAAAAATATAAATGCAAAAATTATAATTAGTATGTGTACTTAATTTTTTATTTTATTTTATTCCACATTTATATACTTTGGAATATTATTTCAATGTAATAATAATAAAGATCATTTTATTTCAACACATAAATTACACAAAATCAAACAATAATGTTTTAGCACTAAACTTCTGAGTTGGTGATTTGTAATAAAACACTTTACCACTTGCACTAATTATTTTACTTTCACGATCCAACACTCACTTTTTCACAATTTGCAATCACTTTTTCTTTTTCCTAATTTCACAAATGTTTATTAAGAACTGAGCAATATTAGGACAGTGTCACATTTTTATAACTACCCGAGACAATCAATTGCCAATTAAAATAGTTCAATAACAGAATCAACAAAATCACTTTATTTAATTAAATTAGCTTAATATTTTTTTTTATCTTTACAAAATAAAATTTATTATATATTAATGGAATATATACCCGATATTCATTTGTTCATTAACATTATTATAGGCCAACAGAATGTTGCCATCAATGCCATCGTATTTATATAAATCAAATTAAAAAATAATTATTATTTGACACATTATTATTGCCACTTTAATTCATTTATTTTAATTTATTAAAATTAAAAGAAGAAGAATAAATTAAAAGATGTAAAATATGATGACTATGCTAACCAATTTCTAAAATGTCATTCATTGGTTCATCGATATATGTATTTTATCGATTACGTTCAAGCACTAGAAATATTGTATTGTGTATCAGTGTTTATAATAATGTAATAAAATCTTTGTGTGCGTTATGCGTCACTTGGTTGAAGTAGTTTTCATACATTTGTATTTTATGTCAGGTCCAGTCTCTAATTCGTTCATGCAGTCAGCATATCACATTACTATTTACTCTCTATACAGACAAATAAAAATGAAGTGTCTATTTGTAATGTCAAAATAACAGCTTTTTACTAAATGCATATAAAATTATATACGGTATATCTAAGTTTGTGAGGATGTATGGATGTCTGAATGTATACATATATGGATGTTTGTTACTCTTTCACGCAAAAACTACTGAATGGATTTTAATGAAACTTCACAATGATATAGCTCATACATCAGAATAACACATTTTATCCCGGAAAATGTACGGTTCCCGTGGGATAGATTGTTTTTTTTTTAGGCGAACCCCAACGAAGCGAGGGCGAGCCGCTAGTCGTGAAAAATTTGTGAAAATCCGCTATTTTCGATTTCGCGAAAGCTCAAACAGTAATCGTTCAATAACATTCGACATTTCTAGAGAACGAACTCTACACTGGCGCCTCTCGCGGCGAATTCAAGCGTGATAGCATTTGGATGAGACACTCGTGTAATCTCTCAATGGACGTGTATCATATAGTCGTGTATCGATAAAGAAGACCAGAGCATATAATCCTGATAAAAAATATGCAGAGATAGCCGCAACAAATAACTAGACATACCTATTTATATTATTATATCTATACTAATATTATAAACAGGTAAAGTTTGTGAGTTTGTGACGTTGTAGGGGGTAATCTCTGGATCTACTGAACCGATTTAGATGAAATTTAGTATGGTGATCATTTGGACCCTGAGAAGGACATAGGGCACTTTCTGTCCCGCAAATTATCCCTTAAGGGGGTGAATATGAGGATGAAAGTTTATATGGGGAACCACTTACTTATATATAAGTAATATTATTAAAGTATTCTATATTAAACTGCAACAAACAATAGTTAATAATGTATACGAATATTTTCATCCATTCTGTCACCTTGAGAATAAAAAGGTGTTTTAGCGAACAAATTATACTTACGTGTAGATACAAAAAATATGGAATATTTATTATAGTATCGTTACGTATCTAGTCTATACATAAATATATTTATTTTCAAATTATGCTCTATAATAGTTATTATAGACAGGTTGTCCTGGGCCAATTTTAAATATATTTATTTTATATAGTTTTTGCCTTGTAGCTGGAATTCAAATCTTAACTACGTTTTAATAAAAAAAAATCATTTTAGTAATCTTTAAAATAAAAATACAAATATTTAAAGTTCTCGTCAATAGCTACTTAGCAAAAAAAAATCGGTTGACAAACAGAGGACAAAAGGATTTGCTACTAAACTATTTTGTCTTTATCTATTTATATATAGATATGTTTGAGTTCTAAAAAAAGCTATTTAGTTTCTCCCCAATTTCCTATATTTCCGGGCAAATCCGTTTTTTTTTTCTAAAATCCTTATTAAAACACTAACGAGTACCTATATAAAAAAATAGCCAAGTCAGTTTAGCGGTTCTCAAGTGAACGCTTACCAACTAACAGCATTTAATATTTATTATGCTATAGATTATTTTCCTTACATTATAAGTTTAAATAAATAACACTCTCTATCTCTCGTCTTTATAATAAACACATTTGGGTCAAGGATTGACCATTTTATCGTTTGATTCAAAGAAATATTTCAATCGATATATGTGTGCCTATATCATGGTACTATATACTAATTATATAAAAACATTTTTTTTAAATTTGTTTATTAACATATATATTCTTTTGTCCACAGGCCATGAAAACTGTACATTCCACCATGACTTGGAGTTGGACCACAGACCACCAACCAGAGAGGCGTTGCTCCCTGACATGGCTAACTCATACAGACTACTACTAACAGGTAACTAAGAGCTTCTATAACGAATCCTGGCCAAATTTTCGTTCCAGTTACATTACAAATATGATGTCACAAATATTAATATACGAAAGAGATAGTGATATAATTTGTGCATAAATACATATGTATGTATGTATATGCTCTTCGTGGGTCTGAATAGTCTGGACCCTGTCCAGGATTCAAACCTAAGATTTAATAATCCATCATCGCATAGGTATAGACGAAGGTAGAGTAGGACGACTACAGAGGAATTGAGCCTGCGATCTACAATATAGCTTTATTTTTAAATTATTAGAAAAATATATTTGCTTATTATATGAATATTTTTTAGCATAAAATGCAAAAATATTATTGATATAGTAACAACAAAACAATTCCCAAATTGATTAATTTGGAAATTCAATAGTAGCTAATATAAGCTCTATTCTATCAAACGGGATATTAGCCAAGAACAAAAAGTTAATTAATAACTAGTGGTATATTAAACCTCAGTTTCTGTAACTGTTGTTATATAGATTTTTCTTACATTCAATAACAAAGTATTGCCTACAAAAACATTGACGCAATGTCACTCCGATAACCGGTCCTCTTGTTGAACCACAATCAGAATCCTACCCCTTTTGACTCCTTTAGGGGCTTATTTCTAAAAATCCTTCATTAGTGGATATCTTTTACCTATGAAAAATCTATATGCTAAATTTCAAGTTTGTAATATTTATACTTTCTATGCATTTGGGGTCGGGCTAAATATATATTAGGCTGTGCCGTCATGAATATTTTATGTTATACTAGCGATTCATCCTCGCTTCTCTCAGGTTCGTCCCTAGGTTGCTTCCCCATACAAACTTTCATCCCTATTTTCACGTCCTTAAGGGATGATTTCCGAGATAAAAGCTATCGTATGTCCTTCCCAGGGTCTCAAACTATCTTCTTACCAAATTTCATCTAAATCAGTTCAGAGTTTCGGAACTCGTTCGGTATAAACAAACAAAAAAAACAAATTTTCTCTGTTTATAATATTAGAACAGATTATTGAAAATTTTGACCTTTTTCCATAAATTATATAAAATAAACCCACAATATCAAATAGCAATATTTTTATTCACATCATTATCATATCTTGGTCTGTGTTAATTTTTTTTTAATATCCAGGCTTAGGCGAAGATCCTGAGAGACAAGGACTTTTAAAGACTCCAGAACGCGCCGCCAAAGCCATGTTATTCTTTACCAAAGGATACGACCAGAGTTTAGAGGGTAATTTAATATTATTTTCAAAATTATTGTCTTTTTTATTATGCCTCTAAAGGTTATAAACATTCATAAGCAATTGATTAATATTTATTTTCATTAGTGGCCCTTTCGCCTATTGGTCGAAATTCAATGAAAATAATAATGAAAATTTGAGGAAAACATACATATATGAATAGAATTTACCTATGTATGTAAAAAAATTGTAAATAGAGATGAGAGCTTCAAAAGCTACTCTTCTTAAAAAGCAAGAGACACGAGCGAGATCTTAGTTAATAAGTACAAAAATATTTAAAATAAAATATTACTTATAATATAAAAAATATAGCAATAAGTGTACCATCAGAAATCGAACCAACAATATTTAGCATGGTTGATTGTGCTAAATGATTTTCAGTGTACAATGTTATATATTTAAACACTTTCAGTTACAAAATACGTCTTACTGTAAACGCCATATAGGTCAAGAGATCTTTTTAAATAACGTGAAACCGTTTCTTACTTACAAGTAGAAGATTTTCAGCCATTCTTTTTATATATATATATATATATATATATATATATATATATATAAATGTATATTATATTGAATTTTATTAAATCGGCTAGACGCGAGTCGAACTAACGAGATAAGGGTTCCGCTACTTAAAAAATAATCTATATTCAATTAGACGTATATAAATTATATCGCCTAATATTTATAATCGGATTACTCTTATCTTTATATATATAATTCTTCTGTGAGTGTGTATGTCACTGAACTTCTCTCAAACGACTGGACCGATTTTGATGAAATTTTTTGTGTGTGTTCAAGGGGATCTGGGAATGGTTTAGATTCACAATTTTGTCCGCTGGACAATGTTTTTTTAATTAATTTTTAATTTTCAAATTAAAGACGTGTAGACAGGACAACGTCTGTCGGGTCCGCTAGTATATACATAAATGAGTAAGTTTGTATGTGTTGCTGTTACTTCTTTACCCTGAAACGACTGGGCGGATTTTGATGAAATTTAGTACACAAATATAACCTGGAGTAGCACATGGGCTACTGGTAGTAATAACTTTTTCTAAAAAGTGGCGTACTTTATACTAATTGACGACACGTTTAGCTCAGTTTGTAGTGACCCTACTTGCTGTGTCAGCGGTCGCGGGTTCGAGTCCCGCTAGTGGCATTCATTTGTGTGATGAGCACGAATGCTTGTACTCCAGTCATGGGTGTTTATATTTATAATACCTATGTATTTAAAGTTATATATGTGTAGTGTATCAACTATCTGGTATCCATAACACAAGCCTCGTAGCTTACCATGGAACTAGATGGTGCTGTGTGTTAATGTCCCAAAGAGGTCCTAAACAATGCGATATTTGATGAAGACACTGATGAAATGGTGGTAGTAAAAGATATAGAAATGTTCTCTATGTGCGAGCACCATCTTGTACCTTTCTATGGGAAAGTGTCTATCGGATACTTACCACAAGGAAAAATCCTGGGACTTAGCAAATTGGCTCGGTGAGAACTTTTTTTTTTTAATTTCTTCCTTATTTGTTTTTTTTATACACTTATATAGATATTTAAATATTTATATTATGATATATCATAATCAATCTTTTATTTCATTTTCACATTACAACACAACAAGTACAAAAAGCGCGGGAAATACCCAATAACGGTCAATTTTCCCCCTTTTTTACTCCTTATGGACAAGGTTTAATTAACATTGATCATTTTTAAAATAAAAAAAAAATATAAAACTTTATATTTACTATCCTGTAATTTTATTATATATACATTTTAGATAAAAAAGCAATCATATTTCATTACTACATTTATTATTAACCAAGGCTTAAAAAAACAAAAAAATTTTTTTTTGTAAAAACAAAAATGTTCAGACAATAAAAAAATAAGAATAACTTTCACAAAAAAAGCTATTAACAAATAAACATATTTTACAGAATCGTAGAAATCTACTCCCGTCGCCTTCAAGTACAGGAGCGTTTAACAAAACAGATAGCCGTGGCCGTCAATCAGGCGGTCAGACCCGCGGGAGTTGCTGTCGTCATTGAGGGAGTGTAAGTATATATTACTCAGACTAAGGAATAATATTGACGACACGTATAGCTCAGTTTGTAGTAAGTAGTAACCCTACTTGCTGTGCCAGCGGTCGCGGGTTCGAGTCCCGCTGGGGGCATTCATTTGTATGATGAGCACGAATGCTTGTACTCCAGTCCTTTGTGTTTATATTTATAATATGTACGTATTAAAAGTTATATACGTGTAGTGTATCAACTATCTGGTATCCATAACACAAGCCTCGTAGCATACCATGGAACTAGATGGTGGAGTGTGTGTTCCAACACATTTATTAAAATCTATACATATAATAAAATTGTAACTAAGTGGAATCTGTACATTAAATATTTTTTAGAAAATCTATTGAAATAGACATTATTATCGATACAGAGTCCGAATCTAAAGTTTTTAGAATTTTTGTCTTTCTGTCTGTCTGTCTGTCTGTTACCGCATCACCAGAAAACCACTGGACAGATTTTGATGAAATTTGGTATGATGATAGCTGGTTATAGGGGTCAACATATAGGATAGGATACTTTTTCCCACGAGAAAATATCTCATTTCTGAGAAAAAATACAAAAACTGCATTGTAAGAGTATAGTAATATGTAAAACCTAAGAATTTGGTTTCTGGTAATCTGAACGCGGGCGGAGCCGCGAGCAATGCTAGTATATATATATATATATATATATATATATATATATATATATATATACATATACAGAGATATACAGTGTCATACAACAAATTTACAATAATAAAGGTTAGTTAGTCATAATAGCCGTGTAGCACTCGGTTTAAAATAGGTCTATGTGGTTGTGGGTGTCGTAGAAGACGACTAATGGATATAGGGACTTCGCACCATAAGTCCCTTGCTCGATGGCGGGCGAAAAATAGCATTCCAAAAAAGGGTTGACGTTAGGTCGGAATTTTTCTGCCAAAACCAATAAGCAGTATGGACGTAATGCGCCGACCCTAAGTAATTTGGGAAATGGGCAGGGAAATGATGAATAGTAAACGTTGTCCCAAAATTCAAACAAGATTTGAATTGGCCGCCATTTGCACGGCAAGTGTTGCCAAACAAAAAAAAAAGAAAAGTGATAGCTGAGAGTATATGGTTGATAAAAATGGAGCACTCTGCCAAAAAACATGTGTTTTCATTGTTGAAAAATATTTCAAAAATAATGATAGTTTGGCTATTAACATTTTGTTACGAAATATGGAAAATATATTGATTTCACTTCGTCAACTGTTACATCAGACGTTTCCTTTTCGTGTACTCCTTACACAAACACATGTCGCTATACATACATACATACATACATACATACATACATACATACATACATACATACATACATACATACATACATACATACATACATACATACATACATACATACATACATACATACATACATACATACATACATACATACATACATATACATACATATATTAGTGCTCAATCACGAAAATCCACATAATGACGCATTCCTGAAATTTCAATTTTAATAAAAAAAATACATTTAAATCAAACAAACGCCTCAAACTATGGCCTTGCTTAACAGAGGAATAAATTCTTTCGATTTAATATTCGTTGGCCTTGCTTAACAGAGGAATAAATTCTTTCGATTTAATATTCGTATAAAGAATAAAAATTAAAAAGTAAAAACTATTAATTTGATATTTTTTCATTAACTTCCAAACAAAAGTCAATGAAAATGATATTAGAAATACACTTAGTATGTTAAAGTCTACTTAAACTATTATTTTTCGTTTATTTTTTTCAAAAACACATACATATAGATTAAATATTTATAATAATGTTTCAGACACATGTGTATGGTGATGAGAGGAGTCCAGAAAATAAACAGCAAGACTGTTACTTCCACAATGTTAGGAGTATTCCGCGACGATCCCAAGACCAGGGAAGAGTTTCTTAATGTCGTCCATTCAAAATAGGAGATTTTATATTAATTTTCTAATAAACATTGTTATTCTTTCCATTTGCCTTTTTTTGCAATAAAGGTGTTTTTTTGTTTTTCAAAATTTCGTTGTTGCAAACTTTTGTTAATATTTTAGTTAAAAGTACAATGTTTAAGTAAAACGGCAATAATTGTTTAAAGTAAGGTTCCTTATTCCTTAGTATTTTAAGGTTTACTATTTTTAAGTTCAAAAAATGAATCAGCGAGATTTTGGGATTAACAGATTTAAAATTTTTAACAATCTTCACGAATCGCTTCAAATATTAAATTAAATTAAAACTATAATATTAATAAACAGAAATATATGTTTTTATTTGCTTTTTTTGTTTATTTTTATACTCAACTCAATTTTTTTTTTCAATTTATTTTATTTTAATAATTTTCTTGACGTGCTTTTTGCTGATTCATTTATTGCAATTACTTATACGCTTTAAATGTTTGTTTTGAATTTGGAATGATAAAATTTGTGTTAAAAAGTTTATTTTTTAAACACCAAACAGACGAAAGCAAAAACGTATAAGTACTAAAATAGACCTTTTGTGTAGTTTTACTATTTTTGAAATCATTTACACATAAATATACGTATAAGTATATTTTTATAGCACAACACATTTTAATTCTTTTATTAGTAAAAATAATTCGTGCCAAAATGTATGTGTGGATAATTTTTCACCTGATTGATATATAATTAATTTCTTCAATATACTAATTTTCAAATAATACTGCCTTATGTTACATTTTATTAAGCTTAGGTTATTTGAATGAAAATAACTAATCAATCATTAAAAAAAATCATTAATTCATTATAATTTTACAATTTTGGGAGATGCGATGATTATAATAATTGCCCAAATCATCGGTTTTCTCAAAAAAATAATTTTATTTTATTTGGAAACTGTGGACCAATGTAAAAATCTCAAGGTGTAAAATGGCTGACACTTGACATTTTTACCAATTTATGTTATTGTTTTAAAATAAAACTATCAAATCCATGACGTTGCCTTAAATTGAATGTGAATGTACCAATTTTATATTATAATATATTGTGAGCATTTGATTTTATAAATAAATTTTTACTTTAAGTTGGATATTTGCTTTTCATTTTTTTATGTAAATAAACTTGAATTATAAAATAGCTGTCGCTATTATTAGGGACAAAAGTTTGTAGTCGTTGGCTAGGTGTCATACAAATCACAACTTTTTGTGAGACTCAAGCCCTTTTCTGCTATCTTGTTATTTCCAAAATGGTTTTAACAAACACATATTAATGAGAGGTAGCATTATTAAATAACTATACTACTACTCTGTATTATAAATACATACTTTATTTTTTTTTAATATTTACTGTTATAGACTTTCCAAGCACTTCTTACTATAAAAAAAATAATAGAATGAGTTATCAGAACGAATCTATACGGTTTTGCTGAAAAAGTATATTATTTTTATAAATTCATCTCAAATATTCTTAATGTAAGTTTGGGTACCTTTCTACTTTAAATAAATGATATACGGCATATAAATATGAATAATAATAATATATGCTGATACCAGTATGAAAAGTAGTGTAAATTATTATGTACTTTTCAATATTATGTAAAATTCGTCCAGTCGCCGATTGATGTGAATACATCAATTCATAATATATTCAAACAAAGAAAAAATAATATTAAAAACTATAAATTATAAATTTAAATAATGGCTTATAAAACAAGCATTGTCAAATACAAAATGCTTAAAAAACACTTAAATGTACAAAATTTAACCCCGCTACAGTTTTGATTAAATTGTGATATTTTACTTAAGCATTAAATAATATGTTTTATTAGATATTAAGATAATAAATAAAATAGAGGTTAAATCTGGTATAATACTAAATTGTTTTTATTCGTTGTATTCCTTTTGACATAAATACTGGTCGTGGCAAACCGCTATTTGCTAGCAGTCCCCTGCTTGCGGTCAGCCAATTGCAAAACAAAAAACAGCGACTGAGAACAATAGAAGTACAACCTATTATTTAGGTTATGTATTTATACAATGAATATTTCATTCCGTAAAATTTATGCTATTTTAATTATTCTTGTTATTATATCTTTGAACTAGATATTGCATGCAGCTTTGCTTGCAGGTGCAACATTGGCTTAACAATACATTTGGATTTTGGACATTCTATATATTTATTTAATAGGTTAATTAAAAACATTTACAATAAAACAACTATACGAAAATTCGTGTAGTTGTTTTCGATTGACTAGTTACTAAACGAGTCGTGAAAAAGCTTTGGTTCTATGGCATATAAAAACTCCTCTTAAACACAAATTCGAAAACTGTTTTATGTATAATTTTGACCTCATTACAATTTATTGATTTTGTACTCAGAATATTATGTATGAATTTTTCGCTTCAGATTACAATTTTGCTGATTAATTTAACAGCCACTTAATTTATCATGACCCCATTACACATAATATTTATATGAGGGATTACCACGCAAGTTTACAACTATCTTTGGCAGTTATATCTAACCGATTGAAGAGAAACTGACACTGTTTAGTGGTTATTTTGAGGAGCATTCGTACGTCACATTTCAAAAACTCATTGTAATTGAAATAAAATATTTTAGATAATGTAGCTAAAGGTAACAAACAAATGATTAAAATCGGTTGAGCAGTTTTAGAGTTTATCTATTACAAACAAATAAAAAAAACTTTACTATTTGTAATAGTGCCTAATAATAGATATAAATCAATAAATACTTAATGAATAAATGGCCTAAGAGCCTGTGAACGCCAGACCTTCGTCATTTTATAAAAGCTGAAAGATTGTCAGCGCATGCTCTCAACACAGATAAGAACGATGGACCATTTTGAAGGTCAGGGTATGGTGGCTTTGGCACATACACGGTACTAAAGGTGTGTAAAATGCCGATCTAAATTCGTCAAATAATAAAATGTGATTTTTTGGTATTACCTTCAGAATATTATTAAAAATCACGTCATTGAATGCCAGACACTTAACATCGTGGCAAACCCTTGCCAGACACCCTTTTCATGAAATCATAATTCTACTTACGTTATAGTATGAAAGCTGATTTTTATATATTATAATACTTGGGTAATAATTAGATGATTTATAAGACTGCTAGCATAGCATTTATTACACACCATCAAAAATAAAGTCAATTCACGTTTCAAATTTGGTGACCATTTGCATCATTTTCTTAGAAATGCCTCCCAACTTGTTTGGAACATTTTTCATGGTATTATTATATTACCCAAGTATTATATATAAAAATCAAGTTTTATACTATAACGTAAGTAGAATTATGATTTCATGAAAAGGGTGTCTGGCAAGGGTTTGCCACGAAAAGTCTGGCATTGAATGACGTGATTTTTAATAATATTCTGAAGGTAATACCAAAAAATCATACTTTATTATTAGACCAATTTAGATCGGTATTTTACACACCTTTAGTACCGTGTACCTGCCAAAGCCACCATAGCCTGAACTTCATAATGATCCATCGTTCTTATCGGTGTTGGGAGCATGCGCTGACAAACTTTCAGCCTTTATAAAATGACGAAGGTCTGGCGTTCACGGGCTCTTGCTATTAAATGACATATCAGACTAAATTCTATTTTAATTAATAAGCATCAATTAATTATATTTAATTTTTGAAAAACATAAGCGTATACATAACGCTGTCTTTTATTTTGCTTCCTAAGCAAAAATACTTATATATTTTTTGTAATCTAATTGTATATAAGTTCGAAGTAGTCGGTAAAGAGTCCTAAATGTAAACAATGTAACCGAGATTAAACCGCCTCTGTTGTTTCAAAGAGAAATGCAGGCAACTAGGCAGGAAGCGGGGTACCTACCTACGTATATTGGATTTTCCGCATGCCGCCGAGCTTCGCTCTTGACGAGCGAAACCGTATTGAACTTATGTGTGATTGCAATCAATGCCAACTTGCTTCCTATTTATGCAATGTTGATTAAATGGCACACGTCGGCTCCCTGTAATTCAGATGTAGCTTCATATTTTTTATAAGGAAATATAAGTACATTACACATATACATGTTTCGGACGACCAGAACCAGGGTATGTCTAGTACCCGGAGGTCGACCTGGGACAATCTCCCAGACGTTCTTGGCGTACACGGCAGTATGTCCGTTCGCTGGTAATGTACGCCACCACGCACCCCTGAATGCGTAGCTTGGGTCCCGATCCACTAGGGTTTCTTCGTTGACAGGAGACTATACTTAGAGGCGATGAAATAAAAACACAATTTTTTCCTTTTTTCTCTCTTGGTTTCGGTTCTTCCTTTTCCTTTTAGTTGTTGCCTCTTCGGTGGCTGTCTTGCGACTGACTCGAATCGAGAAATGGCTCGCCTTTTATTTGGCCCGTTAATACCTTACAGAGAGCCGCGTACTTTGAGCTCATTTTTCGAATAAAATTTCCCTAAACCGAAACCTTGAGAGTCCTTTTATTTTATGTTTTCAGTAAAACACCTTACACATATTTATTTATTTACATGCCTTACATACTATTATACAATATTAAAACATAATATTCAATATATAATAATTAATTAAAAAAGTCTTAAAACAAAAATATCTAAATTTCTAGGTTGCTACATTTTTACTATACATTTTCCCTTATAACTTTTGAACGGATAGTCCTATCGACCTAATTCTTGTTTTATTATAAGTTTTATAATAAAATCTATTATTTAAAACATAAACTATTATGCTATTGCAAGAAACAAAAAATCTCATTTTCAAGTTACGTAATTATATGCTAACATTTTACTTACGTACCTATTCCTTTCAAATTAATGTTAAATAGTCTTATATGATTCAAATAAGCAAAAAATACTCTAAACTAACCTTATTACACTAATTAGAACTTATTTTAACATAATAAATCTAATAAGAATGAGATTTCATATTTACAACAATTATTCATAATACGCT